GTCATTCATGGTGTATTAATGTATACAATTTATAATAAAGTATTATTATTAACATAAGTCATTAACGGAACTAACTATTAATATTAGAACATAATATATTCTAAATTTCTGACTGTCGATAAACTTGACAAAATAGTAAATACACCGATATACTATATAATTTTATKTGCACTTATACTATATAATATAGTTCTAAATACCTTAAAGTCTGATTTTCAAATACTGGCGCAGGTGAGTTTTCTTGAAATTTATTTTAAACAATACCTATTACARTATTACTTATAAAATAACAATTATTATATTATATTAATATATTACCTATATAATATACAGTATTGTAAAGTATTCGAATACAAGTATTTGAATATTTGTATTACAATACTTTTTGAAGTATTTTTTGGTATTCTAAATATAAAAATGTTTAAGGTATTTTTTAAGTATTCTGAATACTTTTTAAAAGTATTTTTAACAAAATTTAAATACTTGTATTTAAATACCACAAAGTTCGTTTTAATAATTATTGTTCACAACAATTTGGCATCAATAAAATTCATATTGTTTTCGTTGAAATAATATTATAATTCTCTATCCTTATATTGTATCCATATAGTTGGTACTTCTAACTTTCTAAGAATAATTGATTTGTATTATACCTAGTTATTTTTAAAGAGTAATAATATGGTATATTAATAATAGTCTTATAGATAGATTCATTATAGAATATAATTTATACAAATATACTAAATAAGTTAATAGGTACCTATAATATTAATATTATTCAGTAATTATTGATAAATCTAATATGTAATAAAGTAATAGGATATTACTAGGTATATTAGATAATGTAGCCATGTAGGTATTATATATTATAGTATAATATCTAAATCACAATTCACATTATTATCGTTTAGTGTTTATTTTCATTCCGTTTTACCATTGAATATAGAATACTGATCTTATCAGATTTAWATCTGTTGTTTCTTTCTCATACTGGCACTAGAATATTAATATAAAGGTAACGGTAGTTTCCCATTTTATTATACTTTATTAACTTATTTAGAATTTATGAACTGATAATTATCAACATTTGCGGTTTTTCTGTGATCCAATAGTACCTATATCAGTATGACGGGTTCCTTACCCTTCCACCATGTGGGATATTTCAAGACTAAAATATTGTTTATCACAATCATAAAGCTAGTAGCTAGTAGCTTTACGTCTTAYAGCTATATCTACTCAACGGACAAAATATACTATGGTCTCATAACATAAAATATCTTGGAGTTATTTTGGACAAAAAACTTACCTGGAACCCACATATATCCTCCAAAATACAACAAGGAGACCAACGATTAAAAATTGGCAAACATCATTGAGCTGCAGCCTGCAGCTCCATATGGAAGTGTTCATTACTTCTATACAAACAAATTATTCATCCTCTATTACTATACGCTGTTCCTGTCTGGGGTCAATATGCTTCCATCCACATAAATAAAATCTAAGTACTTCAATCCAAAGTCCTTCGTGTGATATCAAATGCTCAATGATTTGTTCGAAACGATGCGCTGCACACTGCACAGTGCACACCGACTTCAATTTATCAACAATTAAGAACTACATAAAGGATCTATCGGTAAGCTTCTTCTGTCATCTACGCTAACAAGCGGTCCATAATATTTTGGGTTAAATATCGGTCCCATCAATCGAAGAATAAAACGAGGTCGTCCTCATGACGTCCTAAATAATTAGATTATCTTCAATGAAAATTCTATTGTATATTGTTCACTATCTTAAATCTATTAAGAGGACATCGCACCCACATGTGTTGTCTCGGTCGTACAAGTGCCCCGTCGCACTTTGGTACAGGGTCGTAAATCGGTACATTGGTGGACTGACTACGGTTGGACCTTGGACTAGCTGCAGGGTGCGTAGGAGGTACCATTGCGCTCATCGGAGAAATAATATCGATGCAAGGGACAGAGAGCGGGTAGCCTACTCCTCTGCCAGGAAGGATCTGAGAAAGGCTATYTGAGTTGCTCAGAGTGAATCGTGGAAAAAACCCTGTCAATTGGTCGATGAGGATACTTGGGGATTTCCCTACAAGATAGCGAMAAGGAAGCTAGGCACCGAACCCTTCTGAGGACCGAGAGTTAGCTACTGTTTCCGCACTATTTACTTTTCAGCCGGCTGTGACATGGACCAGCGGGGTCACCTCAGTACGATCAAGTTGAGCTGTGAAATCTAGGTAAGTTGGCTTTGATGGCTTCCAGGCTACCGAGAAGGAAGGCTCCAGGTCCAGATTACGTTCTAAGTGGTCACTGGTTTTGACTCAGTTTTGAGTGTATTCGACAAGTTCCTTGAGATTTTTCCAGTCAGGTGGAAGACTGGTGCTTTTGTACAAAGGTAATGCCAAACCTCTGACAGAGTCTTCTAGTGATCCAGCTTCTCTCACTGCTGGATAGCTCTTCGAGCGTCTCTTACTGTGAAGGATAAATTCTCACATAGATGCCACCAATGGCTTCAGTAACTATCAGTTATGCTTCCGTTGAGGTTAGGTTCGACGCTCTGAAGTGCGTTATTGCGCATGAGAAGAAGGCCAGTGGCCCGGCTCGAAAAAGACATTCACTGGTCTCCTTGGACGTGAGGAATGCTTTCAACTCGGCGCCTTGGTTACTTATTGATGAAGCACTTCGACGACGTGGGTTTCCAGCATACCTAATTCGAATTCTGCGATCTTATATGAGTGGCCGAACTCTATTGGTAGAAAGCGCAGGTGAAGTTCCTAACAGGGTGGAAGTATGGTGTGGTATTCCGCAGGGTTCTGTCATTGGACCTTGCTTGCGGAACATTTTCTACGAAGACCTCCTGCGGCTGAAGTTCCAAGGCAAAGTGAGGTTGGTTGGTTTTGATGACGACATCGTGCTGGTCATCTCGGCACCTAATATAAACCTACTAGAGAGTATTGGCGATTCGGCACTGGAACTGGTCAACCAATAGTGCAGGAGTACGGATTGTAGGTGGCGCCTCAGAAGTCTGAAACGGCTGTCCTGACCAAGAATCGGGCGGATCGGAACATATTTTTACCTTAGGTGGGCAACAAATTTCAGTGAAATCCTCAATGAATTACCTTGGGGTACAGTTAGATACAAGTTTGAACTTTGGTGCTCATGTCAGATTGGGGTTAGCGGCGGCCAAGTGTACGGTGGCCGCTCTTGGAAGGTGGCTGCCTAACGTCCAGAGGACTGCAGCTTGAAGGAGGCGTATGCTTATAGGAAAAAAATTGTATTATGGTACAGTGTGGAAGAAAGGAAAGTCCCAAACAACTTACATTATTTTATWGATTTAAACGCAATGAATAATAGAGATGTATCAACTTACTATAACATATCACTTTAGGAATCAGGATTGGTAGTTTATACATACATTTTTAAAAACTAGCAAAACCTGCTAAAAAATATAGCAAACCAAGACGTAAAACAATTTTTTTGGTTAGTAGGTAATGGTTATTGATTCCAAATTCAAAAAATAATTGATATTCATATTATAATGATGGTAAGATAAATACATAATTGTTTTGTAACATTTTGATGAAAACATATATCCACATTTGCAAAATCACTTATATTTGTAAATTATATGCTATCCTTTTTAAATAATATTGATCTTTAGATTCGGATATTTAAAATTAGAATATTTTTATCCCTATAATTCAATTTTTGGGAATAAATTGTCGCATTGTTAAACCAGATAGTTGACAGATAGTGATAAATTAMCTTAATTAGCTAGGTACTAATGTTGTTTATAACTGATAAAGTAATAAATATCAAAAATAAGTTACATAAGTTAAATTTTAAATGATCATGTAATTTATTTTATATGAATATAATTCATTTTAAGAAATAAGTAAAATTATACAACGTTTGTAGCATGGATTATTTTATTATTTTAAAATGGATTATTTTATACAAAAATTGTATGAAATAATTATAAACAATTACTTATTTCACATATTTATTTGGTGTACTATGGACATAATAGAACTCCAAATTAACATTATTAAAATAATAGAATAATAGAATATATCAAAACAAATTATACTAAGTATTAAGTAGGTAAATAAGTTAAACTATATAACATTATTTTGCTTCATAGTTATACATCAATTTCAATAATTAAATTAATAACAATTTTAAATTGTAACTTATTAGATCYGTAAAATTTAAAAACAAGCAAATGTTGACCAAATTACAAATACATTTCGTATAAATTTAATATGCAAAAGCTTAACTAAACCTGCAATAATGCTAAATGTATAATTCATATCTTGATGGATACAATTAGGCTTGCTAAATATTTAAATAAGTTTTAAAAAAAAAACATGAGACATTATGAGATCATTTTTCACAATTATTCAAATTGTAATGAATATATTGTTTGTTTTTAAATATAAAATAAAATGTAGGTTTCAATAACTCTTATGCTCAAATACTATTTAATTTTATACTATGCTGATAATAAAACTAAAAAAATATTTAATTTTTCTGATAGTCTAGAAAATATAATAGGTAATGAGATAGTTGAAATATTGGATACCAGAGTTGGTGAAGTAACGGTCAAATCATTTTGTCAAGCGAGGGAAGATACCTGATTTTTTACCACGCTCCATTTGATTATTAAAAATATAACATATGGTTATCAGCTCTAAAACATTGAAAAAAGGTCATGAAGGGATCCTATCCTTTCCACCCCCTGTTAACATAAATTAAACTTGAAACAGTGACCTACAGAATGTAGCTTGGCAGTGTATTTTTCAATAACTACATTGATGTAGAAAGGTATAAAATTGGTATCACATAAAACCATTTACTAGTGATTTGTGAAGACTTCAAAAACAAATAATAAAATAATCRTATAATAATTTCATTGACACCTAAAAATATATAATACAATAAGRATTTTATAAAATAATTGTGTTAAAAYTAAAATTTTAATTATTTTTTATATTTTTTACTTTGTCTAAAACACATAGTTAATTGGTAAATCATTTTCTGTGTGAGGCTTAGTATTCATTGTATTATAATCAWTGCGCATAAGGAGATTGTAAGATGAAAATTTAACATTTTCTTCCCAAAAAAATGGAAAATAAAATGTTCTGTATAACTGTGGTGTTCTGTAATGTAAAAGTAAAATAATTTTAAACAATTTTTTTTTTTTTAAAGGCTGAGAGTATTACATTTTATAAGTCTTCGATTTGTAAAGCAATATTACTATTTAAAAATATAATTACAAATTCTTACTTTTTGTTATCTAAAAATGGTATAGATTTCCAAATAATCCATTGCGAATTATTTTCAGAATAATTAGGTTCTAATTCTGAACTTTGATTGTTATTCAGGTCTATTAGGAAATGGCACAGTCTAATATCACTCTGAAATTAAAGTAACATTAGTAAAAATTCAAAAAAGTAACACCATTTATTTATATGTCATTAATTACACAAGTAAAAACATAATATGTTCTAGTAAAATGTAATATACTTACATATTTATCTAACTCTTCTTTATTTTGATCATTAAAGTTTTCAACAACTTTGTGCAAAGATTCCTGACTAAAACGACCAGGTAAAAGTCCTCGGAATTCTGATCTAATAAAATGCATTTTCCATCTGTAATAAAAAATAAAAAATATAATAATATCAAATAAATAAGAATTAAAAAAAAATTACCTATCATTTGGTAAAAAAAATGATGAAGGATATCTATGCCATTCTTTGCCAACACAAACATTTATCACATCTGATTCAGGCAATGTAAGATAATCATTACTCAATTGAGTGTAAGTATCAATAGGTGCATGATATGCTAAACATAATAATTTAAAAACAAATGATTATTTTTATGTAACATAAACATATAGTTTAAATACATCAGTATAGTCAAGCTTTTGCTTTGTGAAAAACAGAAGGTAATTAGTTATATAAATTATAGTAGAGGCTTAACTAGGATCTTTCATAAATTTGGTGTCCTGATGCTATGGATATATAACATTATAGACTTGTAACAACCTACACACAAATATCATTTCATAATTTTTCAGAAATGGRAGGTTACAGCCTCCTTGGATCCCCACCTAGCTACAACACTGTTTTATTATGATTATTATTTACAATAAAAACAAACCTTTAACTAAAAGAGTGCTTCGCGACAATCCCATTAATAAAAATACAAAGAGAAAGGGTATGTAAACATAATCAATCAATTTGTTATACAACTTGAGAAAAGTAAAACGGWGAATAACACTTGAATGAAAATTCATATCTTTAATATATTCTAATAAAATAGATGATGCCAGTTGTATCAATGGGTAAACAGGAAATAAAAATCTTTCTTCCTAAAAAACAAAATAATAATAATATTCATTATTAAATAATAACTGAAGTTGTTAAAAATATACTTTACCTTATGTGGTTGTATTATAAATACAAAAATCCATAGATACAATGGTGATAAATATAATATCCATATTGATTTGTTATTAATATTGCTTTGTTTAGAAAATCTGAACCCGATTTTTATGAGAATCTAATAAAATAATTAAGTAAATTATATTAATTCTTTAACATTAAAATATTATTTATAAAAATTAAAAATAATTCGGTGTCCCACACTTGTAACGTGTGCACGCGACGCGCGACGCGTAATTTTCGATCCGTTTACTATTAAATTTAATACTCTTAAACAGTGAAGTTTAAATTACATTTTAAACGTGTCGATTCAAAAAAAATTGCTGTTCTTATAATATTATAACTACGCACTAGGTCCGTTACATTAGCACCACCATATTCAAAATTCCAAACAAAAAATATACCAACGATTRTTATTTCATTTGTACACATTTGTAATCCTGATACAAATATTTGTACACCTCCCCAAATGCCCCAAA